ATAAAGAATGTGTTTAGGACCATATTTTAGAAAATAGTCCATAACCTAGCAGTTTTATATAAAAGGGTTTATAGCCTCAGTCCACCAAAGGGCAGGGGCTTTGTACAAGGTGTTGAAAATTAAAATATCTGGCTGTGCTGAGTCTGACCTACAATTCTTTTCACATGCAAAGGTAGAGGCCCCAGGGAGAGGAAGGCCAGAAGAAACACAGGGTGTGTGCCCAGGGCTGGAGAGATGTGGGTCAAATCCCTGTTCTGCCTTCTCATCTCTCCACTGGTATGACCGATACAGAAACATTTCCCTTTCTCACAGTGATATTCTGAGGATAAATACACTAAAAAATGGAGGTGTCCAGCTGCTCCCTTGTATTATTAAGATAGCTCTTTCTGATTATATGTCTAGATTTCATCTTTAAGTACTGAATAAGTAAAAAAAAAAAAGGCAAACATAAAAACTGTGTTTCTGTGGGCTCCAGTCTGGCTGATGTACCATTCTGAGCAACATCGCTGTGGTCCTCTGATGGCCTCAGGAAAGTCCTTATATATAAAAATAGGTGCTTCGGAGAAAGCGCAAGAATTAATCCCAAAGGATTACCCTTTAAATATTGAAGCCAGTGCTTTCAGAGCTAAGACCTTGGAAAAGCAATGAGTGTAGGCCACCCATGCTATGTAGGGATATTTGCGTAAGCTTTGGCAGTAGCTACAGCCATCTGAAACACTGATAAGCCAGAACAAAATGTTTTGCCTGTGTAATCATCCACATCCTGACCTCCTTGCATCTCTGCTGCCTTCCTAACATTTTACTGCAGCTGTGCCTTGCAGAAAACCATTTTCTGCAGCAGAGGATAAGGTTGCAGAGTTACCTATGGGTGGATCCTTGCATATCGATTGGTGTTTCTTCATGAAGCTACTCTGAGTAACCTCAGTGTTCAGTATATTTTCTTAAAACTGCATCTAGTGCCATCTTTCACCTCTGATTCTTATCACCACTTAATTGTGCACAGTACCTCAGAGCTGTGGTTAAAAGAGGCTTAAAGCAGTGACATACATACATTTCTTTTCACATACCCCAAATATGTTGCAAAAAGTAATTTTTACAAAGGTCAGAGCTGGGATTGGTATCTTCGTATTTTCAGCTAAACAGATATAAATTTGGCATTATATTGACCAGCCGTGCTGATTGTACCAAAAGCAGAGAGAGTTGCTGCCAGCACAGAATTTGCTGCAAGAACGTGGAAAGGTCAAACTGACCCTGGCAGCTTGTAAACCTGGAAAACCTTTCTGCGTTTAACCTCAGAAAAATAATGGAAGTCTTAGTTTCCTTTTTAAAAAGGAATAACCTGTCCTCCTTGAGCCTGAAATGTGTTTCTCTAGGAAACATACTGGGTGTGATGAACGCTGCATGAACGGGGCTGGGGTCTCCCCAAAGCCAGCAGTGTGCCCAGGTGGCCAAGAAGGCCAACAGCATCCTGGCCTGTATCAGGAATAGTGTGGCCAGCAGGAGTAGGGAAGTGATTGTGCCCCTGGACTCGGCACTGGTGAGGCCGCAGCTTGAATCCTGTGTTCAGTTTTGGGCTCCTCACTACAAGAAGGACGTTGAGGTGCTGGAGCGTGTCCAGAGAAGGGCAACGAAGCTGGTGAGGGGTCTGGAGCACAAGTCTTATGAGGAGCGGCTGAGGGAGCTGGGGTTGTTTAGTCTGGAGAAGAGGAGGCTGAGGGGAGACCTTATCGCTCTCTACAACTACCTGAAAAGGTGTGCTGGCGAGGTGGGTGTTGGTCTCTTCTCCCAAGTAACTAGTGATAGAGCAAGAGGAAATGGCCTCAAGTTGCACCAGGGGAGGTTTAGACTAGATATTAGTAAAAATTTCTTTACAGACAGAATGGACAAACATTGGAACAGGCTGCCCAGGGAGGTGGTGGAGTCACCATTACTGGAAGTATTCAAAAAATGTGTGGATGTGGCACTTCGGGACATGGTTTAGTCGGCATGGTGGTGTTGGGTTGATGGTTGGACTTGATGATCTTGAAGGTCTTTTCCAACCTTAATGATTCTGTGATTCTGTGAAATTGTGGGACAGTCCTGGGTGCCCAGGATTAACAAGCACGGGAGCTGCAAGGCACAGCCCTGCTATGGCAGGCAGCTGCTGAGTCGAGCTGTGCTCGCAGGAATAGGTTTCATTTTGGAAACCTTTTGGTTCTCACTTAAAAACAAACCAACAAGAAGTTTCCTGCTCCTCAGGCAGGAAGACAGGTTTGGTAGTAGTTGTCTTTCAGGGAGGTTTGGTAGTAATAGTCCTTTAGGAAGCCTGTGAAATTCAGTGACCTGATGCTACCCGTCTTCAAACACTTGAAGAAACGGTTGATCTGCAGGAAAGAAAATCAGACATCAGAAAAAAAATGTTAACAGTTGGGATTGGGACAGTGAAGCTGTGTAACAGATTATGGGATCGAGTTATAAAATCCCGTTTGCTGGAAGTTTTTAAAAACATAGGAAGGGGTTGGTGGGTGTAAAGGGAACTGGTGGTATTTCCATGTGGGAATAATGTGTGAGGAGCCTCCCAGCCACACTGCGTGTGCTGAAAGGCGATGCTGGCAGCACTGCAGCGCAAAGGTAAGGGATTCAGAGGAGAGGCGAGATGAGACACAGCAGGATGGCAGCAGGCGGGGTCCATGCCGTGCATGGTCCCTCGCTGGTGTGACCGGTTTGGCAGTTGCAGAGGAATCTCAGCTATGGGACACGCAGCCCCCGGGGACCTGTCTGTCCCTCGTCCTGCAGCTCACCTCCCGAAGCACAAGTGCTTATAGCTCCTGTTTATTTCCCTTTTTCTGTCTTAGAGGTGGAGGTTGTTACTACCCCCAGTTAAAGTTTCCTTCTCTGAGTTACTGATCCGAAGAATCATCATAAAACACACAAAGTTTGGTATTAGCGTAACTCACACACTAAATAAAAGTTTGGTCAACTGACCTTGCTATACAACAGCGGCCTGTCATTTTGTGATCTACAGTTAGATTTTTTTCCACATGAAACAAATCACTACACATTCCCTATTTCACAAATTGCAATAAACATTTTGAAACACTCTATAAATATAATTTGTTCTTGTCTTGTAAATGTTTCTGAACTCAACTCTTTGCAACGAGTGGTTTCCCTAACAACTAATATGTTCCAAAGTCTTTTAAGAAAAGAGGGAATCTAGAAAGCAAGCAAAAAAAAAAAAATTATAAAACTGAACCTGTTTGATGGACACAAGGTACACCACAGTCTGAGGTACTGCGAAGTTTTTATTGCCACTTGTTTCGTAATACTGTTCTCCCAGACTCATCCCAATACAAGGTTTATTTTGGCTTGGACTGCTGGGGCACAGCTTGCTCCACAGGCAGGGCAGGGCATGGTTAGGACTGCCAGCTTGGGCAACCCATGGAGCCGTGGTGGTTGAAGGAACCAGCCATGAAATGTGGCTCCAGACATGACATCGCTCAGCTCTTCCTTGCAGAGGTAGCAGCAGGGACATGTGCCAGTGCATCCCTCTGTGGGCTGAGGGTCGGTGGCCCCTGAAATCCAGTCCAGAGAGCAGCAGAGGATAGTCATGCAGGAAAGTCACGCAGATGTCGATTATGGGAAAAGATAAAGGAATCTTTGCCAAAGGTGTCTGAGCTGGCCACTAAATTCAGGCAAGAAAATTCCTATTTGGCCCACTACTTTTTAAAAGAAATGTAGGGAACTGGTAGCTCCCGCTGAAACATAGCTTACAGTAGTAGTCACAAAAGGGGGTGATGTATGGAAAGGGTGCTGAAGGATTCGTTACAGTTTGCAATGAAAGAAATGAAAAGTGGCTGGAAAAAATAGCAAGGCTCCTTGAATATATAAATGTATGAAACGAGGTTCAGCCCTGCAGAGAAGGACTTAGGGATATTGGTGGATGAAAAATTGGACATGAGCCACCAGTGTGCACTTGCAACCCACAAAGTCCATTGAATCCTGGGTGCATCCAAAGCAGCGTGGCCAGCAGGTTGAGGGAGAGGATTCTGCCCCTGTACTCCGCTCTGGTGAGACCCCACCTGGAGTCCTGCATCCAGCTCTAGAGCCCTCAGCACAGGGAATACACGGAGCTGTTGGAGCGGGTCCAGAGGAGGCCACAAAAATGACCAGAGGGCTGGAACACCTCTGCTGTGAGGACAGGCTGAGAGAGTTGGGGTTGTTCAGCCTGGAGAAGAGAAGGCTCCAGGAAGACCTTATTGCAGCTTTTTGATATATGAAGGGGGCTTATAAGAAAGACAGTGAAAGACTTCTACCAAGGCCTGTAGTGATAGAACAAAGGGCAACAGTTTTAAACTGAGAGGGTACTTTAAATTGGACTTAAGGAGGAAATTTTTTTACGAGGACAGTGAGACACAGGAATAGGTTGCCCAGAGAAGCTGGGAATGGCCTGTCCCTGAAAGTGTTCAATATAAGGTTGGATGGGGCTTTGATCAACCTGATCTAGTGAAGGATGTCCCTGTCCATGACAGACAGGTTGGACTAGATGATTTTTGGAGGTCGTCTCCAACCCAAACTATTCTGTGATGATTCTATACAATACATTCGCAGGGCTGGTGCAGTGGAGGGACTTAGGTCACTGCCGAAGAAGCTGAAAGAGTGCAGAGGGTCACACATGACAGTTGTGGTCCTTGGGGTCATCCATCTGCACCTTCCACAGTCTCACAGGCTTGAACAAACTGCGTGTCAAGGGGGATTGAAATGCTACCAAAGCAGAATGGCAGGTAGTCTGTAAGAGGAGTTGATACCTTTTATTACATCAATGAAATAGTGGGGGAAAATATAACAGTTAAAAAAAAAAAAAGAACAAAGACAAGTCTTCAGGTATGAAAACCCCTCCTGAGGCCTGCAAGAGGAGCTAAAGAGGGAACTGGCGTAGTAGCACTTTCACATCAGCCTTGCAACAGGGATGGAGAATTAGGCCCATTGCCAGGAGAGGAGGGAGAGAGGACACTTATACCCAGTCACCGTAACAGGTACAGGTTAAAAAACATGTCGTCACTGCAGTAGTTGAGACCCATACGGTGCCCTCCCTCGGTCCCGTCTCCTTCGCTTCCCCTCAAAGGCGCCGAGAGCTGGCGGTGGTGTCGTGCCCCACTCGCCGTGGGACAGGGGCCTCCCTGAGGCACAGGGTAGGGAGGTGGAGGGAGGCAGCTGCTGCTGTAGGCCGGCGGGGATTTCTCCTCACAGGATTCATCCCCCAAAGGGCCAACGTTAGGCCTGAAGGGGTCATGGCCACCCTTTGTCAGGGGCAGGACGTGCTGGGTGCCAGGGTGGGCGCAGTGCTGAGGGGAAGGGGCTGCGCAGGGCGGGTCAGTAGTGGGGACGGCAGGGCCGCTGCAAAGCCTCCTGGCACTGGGCGTCCTTCCGAGGGCTGGGTTCCTGCTCCAGGTCGGCGCCTCTCCAAAGCCCCTGTTGTCTCCAGCTGCCCTTGGGTATGGCGGCTGCCCAGAGCAGCTGCCCAGCATCAGCTCCCGGGAACCTTTGCTTAAATGTCCCCCGAAATTAGCAGGTAACATGTAAGCGTCCGGCTTGGAAAGAAGCAAAGGTAAAGCCTCCCGCGTTGGCATTGCACCTGTCAGAGACTTGGGAAAGCAAGGCGTGGTTTAGTAAAACAAGATGTAGTCTAGCAGCATGAAATAAAAAACATCCTGTATGAGAACTTCACAAATGCATTCAGTTAACACAGGTAACGAAGCAGACGCCGTAGCAGAGCCTCCTTGTAGGGCAGTGCCAGTGGGCTTTAGGGGCAAACCAAACAGGGCTCCCAGATCATGGGTCTGGGTTTGTTTCACCAGTTTTTGCCCAAAGCCACACTGAAAGAATTGTTAGACCTCGCATTCACAGCCCACGGGGTCCACGGCCAGCATATACTGAAGAATCACCTGAAAATGAAATTATGCTAATACGTTTGACACTACAGAATTTGTTTTTTTCCTACGGAGTTTGGAAAAGCTAAGTATGAATTTTTTAAACTGATTGTCTTGAAATTATCTTTTCACTACTGTAATATTACGCTTCAGCTTTCCAAGACACTACTTGTGTTTCTAACTGAAAAATTTTCCTATCTTTACATTTTTTTACCCCACAAACAGAAATTTCATTCAGGGAGGGAGGCAGCACACACGAATTATTCTTCCATGTCTTTTGTTCTGGATATTTCACAACTTCTTCAATTGCCCTAATTACTGGATTATAATTTTGCAAACTTTAATTCCTTTCAGAACACTCATTCTGTACTATCATTTTTGATGAGTACTTATAGGTCTCTCTTCTTTGTAATTCTGCTTTTGCATCCATTTAATTATAGTGATTTTGCTGACTGCCAAAGTAGCAAAGCTCCTTTCAGCTGTTCTTCCGTCACCATGAGAAGAAATTCCAACAACCTGATGTAGAACCCAGCCCACCTTCAGCTAAATACCTGCTAATGCATAGAGAAAACATCTTATGTATCACTTGCTGTATTTTGGGCTTGTACATTTTTCTAAAGTTCTCCTCCCTGGTCTCTTGTAAGGACATTAAAATTGAATCTTTTCAGATGACTTTTTTCAGACTGAGCAGCATAGGTTTTGCATGTCAAATTGGAGTCCTGAGTTACTTGTATCACATCTGGTTTTAGCAGACCACAAATATGATGGGTTATTCCCAAGAAAAATGTGCCAGAGAGCCATGAACTGGAAAGCCAAGTGAGGGCAAATGGTATCACTCCAACTGCACAATCAGACTGACTGAAGAGCAGGCTCTACAATTAGATGCTTATAACACCTTCGGCCTGTTCCTACTCCCACACAATCCGAAGTGAAAACACCAGGAACATGTTGCAGGAAGGGAAAGGTGAAGACATGTCTAGCAGGAACTTGACCTCAGTAAGACCTGTACGCTCAGGTATAAAAGAAAAAAAGTCACATGGCTCAGTAACATTTCCTAGATGAGGACTATTTTAGTGTTCATGGGGACAGAATTAAACCAGTGACATAAAAATCATCGTTTCTGTATTTCTTAGAGATTTACACAGTGGCTCAGCTGCTTTTTCTTATGCTCATGCCTTCCCAGGCACTTGTGTCAAGAGGCCACCACCAGTCTATCCTGTACTCTCTGACTCTCCCATCCCAAGTCAGTGGGTCTCCAGGAGAGTCACTCCTGAGCTGTGGTTTTTAGTGCCTTCCTGAGTATTTCCAGTAGAAACAGCTTCAGCTCCTAAATTCATATTCCATTCAAGTGGGTTTAACTTTCTTTGTTCACTCTTCTAATCTACTTCTTGGGCTCCTGGATCCCCCTGCTTCCCCATGTCATCCATTTAAGAAGTCTGTCCCCACCCGGCCCAGTTATTCCTTTTGTCTGTAGCTGAAGGGACACTGATTACTCTCCCAAACACCAGGCTGGGGACGACGCACCACCTCTAGCATATCAAAAGATAAACTGCATGTGAAGACCAGTGGTGTACAGTTGCATGTAACTTCCTTGCCTTTGCAAGGAAGGTCACTGGAGACAGCCTCACTGCTCTACCTGGTTCCCTCCATCAGGTATGCGGCAGTCCACAGCATCTCTGTAGATGCTTTGACAAGTGTTTCCACACCCAGCAGAACTGATGGTTTAACGTCAGTGCTTTTGTAAGTCCTTCAAAGCACTCTTCTGCCTTCAAAGCCCTCCTGGAGACCCAGGGAGCAAGTGCGGCACATTAAACCCTGGCAAAACCCAGGGGGGACGAGCAGAGGTGGAGGATGCCTTCGCTTTCCTGCAGCACCTCCTCCATGTCAGTGGAGGACCTCGGAACACATAATGTGGAGAAAACATGACCTCCTGCTGTTTCTCCAAGGGTGGGGCAGTGCCTCCTGCACCTGAGGATGCCCTCACAGCCCTTGAAGGTCTACAGGTGGCTGAATCTTCCTCAGGGGCAGCTGCCCTGCAGGAGAGCAACTCTCTCCCTGATGAGCATTAAGTCTGTGAATGAAACGATCCAGGCCTGCTACTGAAGTGACTCGGTTTTCTTAAGTAAAGGTTGGGGGACTGGAGGAAGAAGGAGTAAGGATTTCTGGGTTTGCCTTGTTAATGACAAGATACCATACACAGTATATAATAGGCATATCATATAGGTACTGTTATTATGTATTGTATTCTATAGTAAAATAGTATATGGTGTTTGTGTATGTGTACACACATACAGGAATCTTCCTCCTGAGTTCAGTTATTGCCAGAAGTATTTCACAGTTTTCAAGTGTTCATTTGTTACAATTTTATCATGGGTTGGTGCAATCAATACTGTAAGTTAAATCCAATTAAAACCTTCTAATATTCTTCTTCAGTGTCAATACTGATTAGACTAAATATCTAATTACTTTATTCCCAGATTTCTTTGTAAATAATCTAATTTCTGGAGCAGCACTAACAAAGAACTTGTAGGAAAGTTTTCTAAAGACAACTCTTGCATTGAAAAAAGGAAAGAGCTGAGGCTCTAAAGCTATGTCCATGCTGCCAAATAAAATGAGGCCAAGGACTTTTGTTGGTAACAGGGACCAAAAGGCATGGCCTGGCAGTGTCCACACTACATCCTGGCCTTGGGTGACCTCTGGACCTGAAGTGAAATGATGCAAGGTCTGCGGTGCAGCCCACCAAGGGCTATTTTTCACAGCATCAGCTTAAGGTCATTATTGCCTGTGGCTTATAGCATGACAGCATGTAAGGGCACAGGTAGGTTCAAAACCAGCTGTGTACAGTGAAGAGACCCAAGACTGATGCAGCCTTGCCCAAAATTCTGCCAGAGAATGGTCCCTGGCACATGCTGTCCTCCTGACCCATGCCAGGGCATTTTGCCTGTGAGTGTGAGTTGGCACTGGCCAAATTCATGGCAGGGACCATGTGAATAGTGATGCGACTGAGCCTGCCCTGCAGCCCTGCTTTATTTACCAGTATAGATGTAATTCCCTGCTGCCACCAGGCCCAAAGAGGCTCCAGGTGGGGGATGCTGGCAGTGGATGATGGTGCTGAGCAGGGCAGCATGCTCAGGATAGCCCTGCTCCTTCTTGGCCTGGTCACGGGGAGGCAGAATGTGGAGATGTAAAGCCTGCTCCCACCTAGACCCAAAGCCCAGACAACATCCACCATGCCTTGAACCTTGGGTCACTGACCCCATAATTTCATTGATCGATAATAAGAGTTACCTCAATCTCCCAGATTCTTTTTAATCTTGGAGAAGATGGAGAAGAAGCCGTCTGTGCTTTCTGGATTGATCTTCTTGCTTCTGCTTCTAGTTTTGTTTCTGGACGTGGATGGTCATGAGCTCCTTTGGACTTCAGAAAGGAATTATGATGTGTTAAATCTTGAAACAACCTTGTTATTAATCTTAAGGGAGCAGAATTAGTAGCACAGGCCAAAAACACACATATGGCCTGATTTAATGCTTTGTATTTAATAAGACTTATTTAATGTGAGCTCAAGTAACAAACATATCTCAGATGAAGTGTGATGGGGTAGAAATTCTCTGAAATCATAAAACCAGTGCACCACATTTATGTGCAGAAGAGACTCCCCACACTAGAGCCCCAGTTGAAGCCACAAGGTCTTCTGCAGCCTGACTACAGTGTCCCTGCAGTCATTTCCATTCTTCTCACGCTTTAGACGTGTTTATCAGAACATTAATTTCCATTAGCTTCCACAGAGAATTAATTTTATTAATTCTGCACAATCACTGCACATAAATGAAAGACTGGAAAACAGGAGACAGTTCGATGGTTATGGTACTAAACTAGGACTATAGCTTCCAGAAATAGTGCCCATTATTTAAACACTCGCATACACTGTTTTCCAGATATAAGTTACATATAATGCACAGATGGCATTTTCCATAGACAGTCCCTTGGGTACAACCATTCCCTGCTCTAGGATAGCCTCATGCTTACGTGTGGTGCCTTGCAGAAGAGGTTGAGATAACATGGCATTTCTGACTTTTTGAGGATTCTTTGGTTCCTATGTACCTGAGGCGAAGTGCTTCAAAATCAACAGGTATTCATGGGAGCCTAAATGTAAAATACAATATGCTGTAAAATCATAGTAGCATAGGCTAATTTAGGTTGGAAGGGACCTCTTGAGGTCTTGCTCAACCTCCTGCTCAGGCAGGACTAACTTCAGAGTTAGATCAGGTTGCTTAGGACCTTGCCCACGCATTGTAAAAATTTTTATCCATACAGTCATTTGACCTTGTCATATTCAATGACTTATTTATCATAACAGAAGATGTCCTGAATCAATCTTAAAAAATGGTCGTTAAAATTAACTTGCATAATGTAAGTAGTTTGTGTGGCAAGGTTTTGGTAGCAGGGAGGCTGCAGGGGTGCCTTCTGTGAGAAGCTGCTAGAAGCTTTCCCTGTGTCTGACAGAGCCCATGCCAGCCGCACAGCCCCCAGCCCGGCGGCCCCCAAGACCCCCCTGCCGCTGGCCAAGGCCGAGCCCATCAGCCATGGTGGCTCTGCCTCTGGGGGAGCAGGTTTGAGAAGGGTAAAAAAAAACCCCACTGCATAACTGTGGCCAGAGAGAGGAGTGAGAACACGTGAGAGG